AAAATGCTACAATTTATGTTAAAAAAATTATAAACTTTATCTTTTGTCAAAACTTTCTTCCACCTTTAAACATTTATTAATTTATTTCCAAAACTGGTAGTTTACTCAAAAAAAATTCTTTAATTCTTGTAAGTCAAACATTTTTTTAACAGAAAAGTGTGAGGTTTACAAAAAAATTTACACAGCAACAATTCTTAAGTAAGTTAAAATAATTTAACAAAAAAGTGTGAGATCTACAAAAAAAATTGCACAGCAACAAGCTCCTAGTCTAAAAAAAATGTGATAGGTTTCCACTAAAAAAATTACTATGTTTATCTCGTAAGTATAAACATTCAATTAATATTCAAATTTTTTTTAAAACTTATTTGCCAAAAAAATTGATAATTTCGCCAGAATGAAATCGTTTACAGAATTTTGGACCACCTGTATTTTTATCTGAAATGTGGAGTTTGCTAAATCACTTTTATTTAATAAAGTATCGATTAAAATTCAAGAGCCAAACTCCCGGGAAATATTTACTCCACCAAAAGCAATAATTCAAGTCGACTATAAAGAATCGAACGTTATTTTATACCTTTCAATTCCGCAAAAATTGAAATTGGTATGATTTCTTTACCGTGATCGTCGGATCTGAATTCCGCTTCAAGTTCCTGTTGAGTGGGTTCAGTCTCCTCATGTTTTCCGGGTTGTTTCATATTTTTTCTTGTTTGGTGACCGCGAAAAGCCGCTTGTATTTTCACAGCTGCGTCTTCAAGATCTGAATCTTGAGTGAGTGAGTTAGAGACTAGGACACCACCGTTGGAGAGAGTCACAGTTTTGGCAGATTCTGGCTTCGTGTCCTCTGCAACAAAAAGTAGATTTTTGTTGGACCAACCCGGAAATTCCCTGAAATCGATAAAGACACGCAAATACTGAAACGCCAACTTTAATCCACTCCATTTAAAGATCTCAAGTTCACTGTAATAATGCGTTTTCTGAACTTGCAATAAATTATTCAGGCGAAAAATCGATTGAATTTAATTAAATAGGTTGCTTGCAGCAACTGGAAAAAAGTACAAAGTGAGGATCGACTAGAGACAATAAACAAAAGGATATAGAACAGAGCTTGAAGCTGATAATAAACTCACAAAGGGGAATTTTTTCAATAGTGATAAATGATAAAAAGTGATTTCATAAAATGTCCCTACAATATTTTAATTATTTATGATGTGCTTGTGAGGACATGACAAAGGGTGAAAATTGTAACTTGTTTAAGACACCTCAGGGAAGATACATTAGTTGATTTTATCACGTATTGGATTTCCGTTAGCTCCCTTGTCGACTAATTTTCGAAGTAACAAATGGAACAGAATTTCCCGTTTTAAGCATAAAATGGCTTTATTTTCACGATGACGCCTCTAAATATTTAAATATGTTAACACGAACGAAATTGGAAATACAAATTTTCCAAATATTTAATATTAAAATATACAAGTTGGTAAAGTCTTTTAAATGTTAAAATTTTAAAAATATTATACAGGATGTGCCAGAACTTACGCCCCATAGAAAAGTAAGATAAGATACCAGGAATATGGAAAACATATTTAAAAAATTCTATTTGTCAAAAAATTTTGAGATTTACTTTTTGACATTAGACATTTTTTATGTCTATTTAATGATACTGATGATTTTGTATATGTTTTTGTATAATTCTTTAGTGAAGGTACAAAAATTTTGCCACAATTTTTTTAACAGTCAAAGTGCAAACTTTATAGCTTCGAAATTTTTATAGATAGAATTTTTTAACATATTTTCCATGTTCCTGTTACCTTTCCTTACATTTTTTTTACTGTGGCGCGTATATTTTTCAAATTTTAATATTTAAAAGACTTTACCAACTCTTTGGGACAGCCTGTATATTTTAATAGATATTAAATATAATAATTAAATTTAATACATCGTCTGAAATTATTTTCAACTATACAGCATGTTCAAAAAATAAGTTACAATATAAACTCATGTTTTTTCAGGAGAAAGACTATATTTTAATACTGATTATTTTGAACTAAACTTTTATCGGTCGATTTGGTATTTGAAATACATACTTGACAAAACACACTCTTTTTAAAAATTTAAAACATAATCTAAGACAGCTCTGCTCTGCTAAGAAGAAAGTACAAATTTTGGGCATAATTAATGTATTGCATTTGGGAAGATAAAAAAAATGTTAAAATTACTTAAAATTTTAAATGGAACACTATTTATTTTTTATTTTTGCATCTAAAATTGTTAAATTGTCTATTTAAAATATCTAGAGGTCAGTTATTATGTTAATGCAGTCAAACGTCAGATTAACTAATCACGTGACCTAATTGAACCAACCAGATGCTCAGATTCACGGACTAACTGCATTTTAACTTTTAAGTTATTTAACTTTTAATAAACTTCTTCACTGTTTTAACTTAAACAACAGACTAAAAAATTGTTATAGAAAAAAATTCTAGCAGTCTTAATTTTTGTGTAATAAATTAACGAAATATGTTTTTGTTAAAAAAAAACAACCTATAAAAGTTTACCTTAAAAGCATCGTAATAAAAAGCTACATCCAAAAAATCTAAGAAACTATGGTGTTTCATTTAAAAAAATCTGGTGTGAACATCACGACTTTCCTTATCCAACTTATTTGGGAAAGATCCTTACGGTGTAGCAAACCTAACGTTTGCGATAGTGCCACACGAAATAGATCATAGTTGCCGCGGGTTCGAGTCTGGGGTGCAATTTTTTTTAGTTCGGTACTCATTATTATTTTTATTGTATCACATTTTACTGTTTAATAAGGTATATTTCATGATTCTAAATAATTTTTATTCCCATGAATTTATTTATAGTATCTTCAACCGTATAATTTAGATTTTTGGTCAAGTAACTTACATACCAAATTCCAAGTTCTAGCTCTTATCATTCTTGAGATATTTTTATCTCTGTCTGTTTACAGACTCACAGACAAACACACACACTTATAGGATAAGAAAAGTAAAAAACATAAGTTTGCGTTGTATTTTATTTTTGGGACACGCTGTAAAGTTGTTATTAATTTTAAGCGATGCACTAGATTAGTATCTATTAAATTTATACAGGGTGAATATAAAGTCTGGAACCAAGCGGTTTTATTTTTAGCCTCCAGAAAATAATAATTAATACAAATTAAAGTAATGTAAACAATGTGATCGTATTTTCAGGACGAAATTTTGTTTTGTTTTTGAGTTATGCGATTTTTTTTTGTCAAAATTGCAATTTATGTGAAAATTTTTTTTGAAAAAATTAAATATAAAGCAGATAGTTGTAATCCTTAGAGTATATTTTTTATGAGAAAAATGATATTATAGTGGGTTGCCATTTAAAAAAATATTTTTTTGTAGAACTCAAAAACAAAAGGAAATTTCGAAAAATTGTATTCTTGTTAAATCATCACATTTTTATAGTACTATCACTCATCAATTAGTTTTTTCAAAAAATAAATAGTTTAAGCAAAAAACGTTTGGTTTCATACTTTGTATGAAGGTTTTACAATTTTAACATTTAAAGGTAATAATTGACTCGTCTGAAAATGAAAAATATAAAATGTTTGCATTAAATAAGAAACTAAAAAAGTGGTAAAATCCAAGACTAACTTTCTTTTATAACTAAGAGTTTCAATTTTCTGGTTCCGTGCTTTTTTCTGCTTAATAAATTACGTGTTTACAGGTTTTAATTAAAAACAGTCGTAGAAAATGCAGTATATTTTTTATTGGAAATAATGTTTTAACGTATTTTTCACAATAAAGCTCACAATTCGGTAAATTTTCTCTGTATTTCATAATTTTTCATCTGTCATGTTTAGTTCTAAACATGCAGCTTTAAGCTTTGTGTTTGTCGCCCGGAATTTGGTTTAGCAACCAAGTTTCATTGTTTGAGTAATTCAAAGTGCACATAAAAGAAACGACGCCTGAAAAGGAATCCGACAACTTAGGATTTTTTTCTTAAAAATCGCTTCAATCTAAAAAAATATAGATGTCTAAGATAACACTAAAATAAATGACGGGGGAGGACGCTAATAAACTTTCCTTCCACTCACAAACAACTATTTTGGGCAAGTTGTAAACTTCTCCGACTCTTCTAGAGTTAATAAAACAACTCGTACATCACGAGGGAAGCAATCACGTTAATTTTCAAAAGGTATTAATCGCTTTCACAAATCAATTATCTTCTAAACCGAATTTACGACCACCTTTGTGAAAAGCAAGGTCAAAGTTAGTTTTATTAGTCCTGCGATCGAACTCTGCCTTGCTCTGATTCCTTCGTGACGTCACCGGATATGACCACGCCATTTGTTACAATGAACCAATAGCGAATGTTTCATTTCGTACTTTGTAATAATGTAATTCAATTTTGATTGTTACAACGTGTTAATTTATTTTCTATAGACACCACGAGGAGGCTCACTCCCACACTTGATCTGACCTATTTTCTAAATACCAATTTGGGTAATGAGTTAGTCTTAATAATGAAACCATTTATTAAAAGAAGCCTGAAAGGTTTCATTCTCTTTGAAGTTTATTAGATTTTTGGGAAAATTCGACAGGCTCGTCAGAAAACAAAGTTAAAAATAAAATTATTTACTAGAAATTTAAAATATTTTGACTATTTTTATATAATTTTAACCTTATTTGTTCAAAAGTTGATTTTTTGATATAAATAATAGTGAACCAGTTTCAAATAAACCGCCGCGACTTCACAGCCCTGGTAAGCAATGCGCAGGTCACTATCTGAGAAGAGCTGACATTTTTCAAAAGGCTAGTACGTAATTCAAAATGTTTTTAGGTCAGAGAGTAACTTCGACTTGCAAACTGTCAAATTTTATTAGGTTTTTTTAGTGTAGTGTTTGGTTGTTGTCAAAGTAAGTGAATATGTATAAGTTATATGCAAAAAAATTGGGAACACCTCATCAAGACTTACATAATATTTTTTTTTATTACAAGGAAGGAAAGTGTATTTTTTCTTCCCATAGGACTTGTCAAATGAATAAGGGCAGTAATCACCCAGGCAGGAAAAGATACTTTCCTCCAATATACATAGTATACATATAATTTTTCCTACGATCCAGCAAGAAAAACTTGAATACTAACAAAATAGTTTTATTGTGGGTTGCTATTTAAAAAAATATTTTTTTTTGTAGAACTCAAAAACAAAAAAAAATTCGAAAAATTTTATTCTTGATAAAACATCATATCTTTAAAGTACTTTATCGTACATCAATTAGTTATTCCAAAAAATTAACAGTTTAAGTAAAAAACGTTTGGTTCCTTAATTTTTATTCATCTGGTATATTTTTATTGTAATTTTGATAGATGAGGGAGGTAATTGGTCACTTTCCTTTCTAAAATTAGGGTGGAAAAACTTATTTTCTCTTAGGGACATATTAATATAGTTTTGGTAATTCCTAGTATATTAAATAAGAGTATTTTTCAATCCAATTTTGCTCGATTTTAATACAGAATTAATTCAAAACTAATGCTTTTTAATGAGCTATTTTCAATTCAATTTTGCTCGATTTTAATAGAGAATTAATTCAAAATTAAGGTATTTTATAAAAATAATTGCTTCAATCTCAATTTAGAGCTGAAAAAAAGCAATTTGAGCTATTTTCAATTCAATTTTTTTATTTTAATACAGAATTAATTCAAAATTAATTTGTTTTATAAAAATAATTGCTTCAATTTGTGATATTTTTAATCGATTTGACCCACTTTTAAGTTGGGAATCAACCTAAATTAAAGTATTTCAACCAAATTCTGGCTTCAATAAGAGTTTTCTTCCAAAACA